AGACACGGCCTCTCCTTCTTCTTCTTTCTTCTTCTTGTCTTCTTTGCTTCTTGTTCTTTTTCTTCTTCTTGTTCTTTTATCTTCTTTCTCTTTTCTGTTTTTTTTTTCTGTCTATCTTTCTTCTTCTTCTTCTTCTTCTTCTTCTTCTTCTTCTTCTGCCTCTTCCTTCCTCCTTCCCCCCTCTTCCTCCTCCCTCCCCCCCGCCTCCATCGTCTCTCTTCTTCTTCTTCCTCCTCCTTCCCCCCTCCTCCTCCTTCTTCTCTTTTTCTTCTCCTCCTCCTCCTCCTCCTCCTCCTCTTCCCCCCCCCTCATTCCCCCCCTTTTCCAATTAACCCCGCTCCCTCCTACTGTAAAATTGCGAGTTCGCCAACGTCACCTCTAATATACTAGCTGTGGCGGCCAACGGCGATACCCCCGGCGAGACACGCGTTTTTGGACGCCGCGTGGCCATTTTTCTTGTTTTTTCTTTTTTCTTTCTTGGGGTTTTAGGTTTGGTTTTTGCTTTTTTCCTTTTTTCTTGTTTCTTTTTTTCTTCTTCATTTTTATTTTTAATTGTTTTCCTCTTTCTTTTTTCTTTTCTTTTTTTTTTTTCTTTTTTTTCTCTTTTCTTCTTCAATCTTCTTTTTTCTTTTTCTTTTCCATTTCCTTTTTTCTCTTTTCCATTTTCCTTTTTTCTTCTCTTTTTCTTCATTCTTATCTTCTCCTCCTCTCCTCCTCCTCCTCTCGTCCCTCCCGCGGAGATGTCACGGTCCTGTGTTTTATACAATGATTGTCATTATTTATTACATTACTTTTTAATTAATTATTTTGATTTTTTTTTTTTTTTTGCTATTATTTTTTTTTTATAGATTATATAGTATTATATATAATATATATAATATAATATATATAATTTTTTTTCTATTTCGTCTTTTATTTCATTTTACTTTTTGTTTTATTTTTGATTATCTGTTTTATTAATTTTTATTAACGTTCCAGTTCTAGTTATGGTTCTTTGTGTTTTTTCTTCTCCTTTCTCCTTTTTTTCCATTAGATTGCGTCAGCTGTTATTGCTTTGGTCGGTCTTACAACGCACATTCTTCTGGTCTCGCTTTGTGCCTTTGCGTTCCTGCTTGCCTGTTGCTATAGCGAAGCTGGCCCCTCCGTCTCCTCCTCTCGTCTCTCCTCTTTCTTTTTCTTCTCTCTTTTTCTTTTTCCTTTCTCTTTACTCTCTCCTTGATATCTCTCTCTCTCTCTTTTTCTCGCTCTTTCTTTCTTTCTTTCTTTTCTCTCTGTTTCTCGCTCCCGCTCTTCTCTTTCTCTCTTTCTCTTTCTCTCTCTTTTCTCTCTTTTCCTCCTCTCTTTTCTCTCTCTTCTCTCTCTCTCTCTCTCTCGTCTCTTCTCTCTCTCTCTCTCTCTCTCTCTCTCTCTCTCCTCTCCTCTCCTCCCTCCCTCCCTCCCTCCTCCCTCCCTTCCCTCCCTCCTCTCTCCCCCTCTCCCTCTCTCCCCCTCTCCCCTCTCCCTCTCTCCCCCTCTCCCTCTCTCCCTTCTCCTTCTTCCTCCCTCCCTTCTTTTTCTCCTCCTTCTCCTTCTCCCTCCCTTTTCCCTTCCTTCCCTCCCCCTCCCCTCCCCCCTCCCATCCAGCGTTAAATAGACGTCAACAAACGACCTTTTCAGCTGATTTTGAGAGGGGGGGGGTCGAGCTTATTTTTATTACTAGCAGTATTTTCATTTATAACTACTTTGGCTAAAGATTTTCGTGGTTAATACGACTATATTTTTTTTTACGGACTAAACCCAGCCGGGGGGTTTCATAACGCGTTAGCTCGAGGCTTTAAAAAAAAAAAAAAAAAAAAAAAAAAAAAAACACATCGGTAAAATACCTTATATTGGTCGATAAAAAGTTAGTCCAGAGCCAGAACCTATTCCACGGCGCCTTGGCCTTTCAGCCTCACCGGCCTTCGTCAGCCCACGCCCGCCCTTCGTCGCCTCACGCCCGCCCTTTCGTCAGCCTCACGCCCGCCCTTCGTCAGCCTCACGCCCGCCCTTCGTCGCTCACCCGCCCTTTCGTCAGCCTCACGCCCGCCCTTCGTCAGCCTCACGGCCCGCCTTCGTCAGCCTCACGCCCGCCCTTCGTCAGGGCCTCACGCCCGCCTTCGTCAACGCCCGCCTTCGTCCAGCTCACGCCCGCCCTCGTTCAGCCTCACGCCCGCCCTTCGTCCAGCCTCACGCCCGCCCTTCGTCAGCCTCGCGCCCGCCCTTCGTCAGCCTCGCGCCCGCCCTTCGTCAGCCTCCACGCCCCGCCCTTCGTCAGCCTCACGCCCGCCCTTCGTCAGCCTCATCGCCCGCCCTTCGTCCAGCCCTCACGCCCGCCCTTCGTCAGCCTCACGCCCGCCTTCGTCAGGCCTCACGCCCGCCCTTTCGCTCCTATGCTAACTCACGCGTGAGTGCGACTTGAAGCGGACATATCACTTCCATCGAATACTACTAATTATTTGACCTTTACTAGTCCTACGTCCACGCCCCATTCTTAGACGTTTTTAGTCATCACGCCCTTACACTCTAAGCGCTCAACCGATTCACGAGCCCAGTTGCTCTAGTCCCTCGCATCTACGCGTCATATCTTTTTCTAAGCGATTCTAAGCACTAAACCAAAATGCCGATCTAAGTCATTCACGAGCTCTCAAAATCTCTCGTCAGTGCGAGTCACACACTAGTTTCCAAGCCTCTACCATACGACACGATCCTTAACGTCCCACCGCTCACCATCACGCCCCATTCTCAGCCTCGCCATCACGGCCCATATCTTTCGTTCAGCATCATACCTACCACAAAGCCTTCTACATTAGGCATACAACGCCCATACACACATAGCCTCCCATCACGTCCCACTCTTCTCGAGGCACTTCCCCATAACGACATCCCAGCCTCACCCTCGTACATCCAACGCCTATCCGCCTTCCAACCTCCCCATCCCACACTACCCACTCACCCAGCCCACGCAGCTACGCCCGCATGCACCAGGCTGTCCCCATCACGGCCCATTCCCAGTCTCCCCATCACGCCCCAGTCCCAGCCTCCCCATCACAGCCCATCCCAGCCTCCCCATCACGCCCATCCAGCCTCGCCATCACGCCCGATCCCAGCCTCGCCATGTCACGCCCACCCCAGCCTCCCCATACACGGACGCGCTAATCCCAGCCTGACGCGGCCATGTCTACGTGCCTCAAAATCCCAGCCTAGTCACCATCGCGCCCACGCCCGCCCCCATACCTTGTTCACGTTAGCTGTTAAATAAGATACATCTGAGAAGTTATATTTGTTCTTAAAAGTACATGCTAGGCATTGTTGCGTGTCACGGTTTCCCGCATCAGGCTGATCAGTGAACACCGCATGCTGGACTGGACCCGGGGTGATGGGGGGGGGGGGGTTGTTCAACCTTTAACAGCCACACTCTATAAACTCTTGTTGGAAGATTGCTTTTATCACCTCTTCTCTGTTTTATTTTTGATTTTAATTATACTGTGAAATTTTATTATCAATTTATTTATAATATTATTTTTATTTTTTGTGTTATATTATTCATTGTGATATACGTTATTACATACGTAACATGCAACCTGTAAAGAAGATGTTTTGCGAAAGTTTCATGCGTGTTTTTTAATAGCCAGGAGGGTGGTATAGAGGGGGTATGCGGTAGGAAGAGGAATGAATCGTGTTTTCAAATTATAAGAAGCATACCCGATAGCTTCCCCTGTCGTTCTGGTTGCAGCGGCGAGGGCAATTGCTGGATTGATTAGACGGAGGTGAAGAGGGAGAAGTTACGATGAGACTAGAGAAGAGTGACCATATAATTAAAAGACAGTGGAAGTGGACAAATAAAGGGAGATCGATGTGCAGGGGAGTAAAGTAAGGATGACGACCGAAGGGCTGTGCAGAGGTATAGAAGGCAGAGAAGCAGATGAAGAAGTAAAGAGAAAAAGGTAACAACCGGTGAAGGCGCGTTACTAGGAGGTAGAATAGGAAGAAAGGTATACGAAGCCGTAAAGGCCGTTAGCGAGAGGAGTGAAGAGGGTAGAAGGAGATAATGTAGATGGCGGCCCGAAGAGAGAGAGAGAAGCGAGGGACAGGTTGAGGAGAGATAAGAGTGAAGTAGAGAGCAGGAAAAGGTCCATAGTACGAGAAGAGAGAGAGACAGACTACGCGGCGCCCGACCGAGGAAATTGGTGCTAGTGACACATCGGGCTAGCGAGATAGAGGAGTGGGCGAGAGGCGACAACTATGGACACGATAAGGAAGGTGTGAACGAGGGTAGACGGCGAAGGTCGATGTGGATACCTGAAGACCTCGTAGAACTAGACGGCCCTCCCTCCGCACCTGATATACTCTCGCTCTTCCTGGGCTTCTCAAAGGTGTCCGATGAGAGAGCAGAGACTCGCAGTGAGACTACAAGCCACCCGCCACCCGTGGGGAACGCGGATACACGTGAGAGCCAGAACGCTGAGCCATTCCGAGGGAATGCCTTCTGAGCCAGATTAGGACCTGAGAGATGTTCGAGAGACTGAGCACCGGGAATGTCCAACGTCGAAGAGGGAGAGCTGAAAAGACGCGGGGGTCACGTGATCCCCATATAGTGACTTTAGAGGACGGTGTTGCCTAGACGGGGAAGGGAGGTCAAAGGCACGACGGAAGAAGAGATGGCGATGCAGAGGTGATAGAGTGTTACTTAAGATAAGTTTTGGGATGAGGACCAGGGAGAGGGCGGAAATAGGTCTTCATAAGCGCACAGACGCAGGTTCAGACGAGGGAAGGGGGAGAGGAGAGGAGGGGGAGGCGGCCCAGAGAGGGAGTCGGAGAGCTGGAGAGGGGAGGGCGAGGCCGCGCGTTCTCACGTCCCAGACCTGGGAGGAACCGGGAGCGAGGCAGGAGGGCCGGAGGCGGATAGTGGCAAGGGCTAGTTGAAAACGAGAGAGGGTGGGGGAGGGAGAGAGGGGGAGTGAAGCCCATAGACAACGCTCGCGTGCGCCGAATACGTGACTTTTCCCCATCTTCTAGTTCGCCTTCGTTGTGGGCGCTCTGAGGATGGCGGTTGTTTTACTTTCGTTGTGCTCCCTCGTCTTTCGCGCTGTCCGGTTCATTGTCTATCGTGTTACATTGGGT